CAAGGGGGCTCCCACGGGGAAGAGTCTGATGTGAGGAGGTCAGAAGACCCCACTGCACGGGATGGATGGATGGATGGATGAGCAAGGTCAGACGGCCGGGGTCGGTAATAGAGAGGGCGGCAAGGTACAAGGCATTAGGAACTACCATTTGGATGTGGTCCTTTGCTCCCAACTTTGTGGGAACAGTTTGGGGATGGTTTCCTCCTGTTCCAACATGACTGTGCACCAGTGCACAAAGCAAGGTCCATAAAGACATGGATGAGTGAGTTTGGGGTGGAGGAACTTGACTGGCCTGCACAGAGTCCTGACCTCAACTCGATAGGACACTTTTGGGATGAATTAGAGTGGAGACTGCAAGCCGGGCCTTCTTGTCTGACAGCCTTCCCAGAAGAGTTGAAGCTGTTATAGCTGCTTATGGGCCAAAAGCAAGCCTGTGAAAGCAGATTTTGGGCCATAGTGTACAAGCAAGGCTACCAGTTATGGGTTAACCCAATCAATTTGGCACTCAAGTTTCATTAGAGAGACACACTTGCTTTAGGGAGCCAGAGGGTGTTAAAGAAAACTGAGCAACGGAGAACATTTATAACAAAGTCCTGACCAATAGCAGGTGCCAAAAACTGCAGGAGAAGTTCCAGGTATGAAAATTTGGACCAATGTACGTAGGTATGTCGGTCCAATACCTGGAAAATCCCAGTGGAAGATGGAAATGACTGTAGTAGGCACCCGCTACTACAACGATTGCCGCCATCTTCTGGGTACCATGCTAGTCAGCTGCAATCCCGCTCACTGAAAACAAGAGAGATTGCTACTTGGCACAGGAGCCATTCAAAAAAAAACATTTTGCATTTTTCTAAATGAATGAAAAGTGTTCCATGGTTGGTTGATGTGTAGATGCAAGTAAAGATCACTGTAATAGTGGTTCCTACAGCACCATGCATACATATGGTCCAAGCTGAACAAGAGTAACTATGTAAAAATGACCTTAAAACAATCGTCAGCTTTAATATACCAGATCTCTTCCTTTGTGTGCCCCTCTGGTTTGGCTTTAGTTTGCAACGTGCTGATTCTCTTAAAGGCTTCTATAAAACTAAAAGTTACCCTTAAATGCATGATCCCTCACTCCCACAGGTTCCTCTTAGTGAGATTCTTCCCAGCTTTGCATTCACTTTGGCATTCTGTCCAAGGGTCATACTCTGATGATCATATACAATGCAGGACCAGGGGTCCTGCATTCGGAGGATGTTGAGGGCCCACCAACAACCCAGAGTTTCAAAAAGAAGAGGAAAGCACCAGCTGCCAGGGGAGTAAGGGATAAGGTAAGTAAAGTGCTTTTTTGGGAACTCTAGACAAAAAGGAGCATTTGACCCTCGCAGTAGGGGGGGTAAACTGCAAGGGAAATTTTGATATGTCACAGAGTTCAACTTTAACATTTTAGGGGCCTGTGTGGAAGGGTTTTTTGTCTTGTTTGATTACATCAGTGTAGGAGGCTTTTGACATCATTTGGAATTCATTGTCCAGTGGAGTTGACCTCCTGCTTACCTGCTTTAAATAAGTGCACTTGTCCCATTTGCCCCTTTTCAGTGACCCAAACTAACATATCCTCCCTCTCAACACATGCGTACTTACCTGGATCCAATGGCCACAGTCTCCAGTGTTTGACATCCAAGTCTCTCTGTCCTGGCCCAGTCTGTGTGTTATAGCCCCATAGACTTCTATAGGGCTGTATCTCAAGGCTGGAGGAGCCAGGAGACTAACAGAAGTCTACGGGGCTATAATACACAGGGTGTAAGTAAACACCTCTGGCTTTGGCTACCAGGCTGGATCTAGGTAATATGTATCTGTAGGAGGGGGAGGGTGGTTTACTTTAGATTAGTGCAAATGGGCAAACAGGATGCATCTACCTTGCCTAAAAAACATTTTTTAAGCTGGTTTTGCATTCCCATATATGCAAAAACCCACTGTGACGGGAGTCACTTTGGGTGGGGGGCCCATGGAACACAGCTCACTTTGGAGAGGTGGAGAGACCCCTGTCTCAGCTCCCCATATCCCTATTATGTGTAAGTCACCCTGTGCCTGTTAGGGGTACAGGGTGATCTGTCCTAATATTGTGTAGACATGTATCGGTGGGGTGGGGGTTGTGGATTGTTTAATGCCATGTGGTTGCACCCCATTGTTCTATTGTGTGTCTTGCTTGGGAGCAAACTATTATGGGATGTGTTTGTGTATTAGCTTAGTGGGGGGGTGGGGGGGGTGTCTCCAGCAGCCCTCCCTCCTGATGGGACTGTCTGCTGGTGTGAAGTTTGAATACCTGTGTGTCTCTTGTTGCCAAGTGTTGATTGCTCGCCCTGTGTCATTATGCAGGGAGGGGGGGATTGCTCCCTGAGTGTATAAAAAGCCAGTTCAAGTTTGAAATAAAAAGTTCCATGTTCAGACAGACTGCTGTCGTCTAGTCTTGTTTGGTCGGCTGTGGTGTCTGTAGTCGGTGTTCGGACTGGGAAGCGGTAGTCTAACGTAAGTACCCAAGCGCAGACTGGGTCGGTTCCGTTACACCCACTTTAAGCAAACAAAAAGACCATCAGCTCAGGCCCTAAAACAGCTGACAGGTTCTCTTTAAAATTTTGGCCTATGCCTTTTATCAATTTATTTGTATGACGGCTGGAAAAGGCTGGCTTCCTGTTGCAGAGACAACAGAAGTGAGAGGAAGTTGTAGTGGGAATAGTTGTCCCAATTAGAAAATTTCTTCTTTGTTCTTATTTAAGAGACAACTGTAAAATCTTTTCTTTCTCTTTATCTAGACATCAGTGGTGCCAGGCAACTAGCAATTTCTAGAGCAGGTAAGCCGAGAGGCTCCCCATTTCTCTGACAGGTTTACCAGTCAACATCTCTACCAGTATGAAGAGCCGCAGAGAACCTCCAGAACCCTAACCAATGGACAGCCACCCAAACCTCTGGAACCCCGAAGAATGGACAGCCACCCAAACCTCTGGACCCCCAAATAATGAACTGCCACCCAAACTCCCAAAGAACAGACCCCCAACAAATGCCCATCAATGGGCAGCACAGTGGCTAAATGGTTAGCACTTCAACCTGACAACACTAGGGTCGTTGGTTCGAATCCCAACTACGACACCAGCTGCCTGGATTTTGCATGTTCTCCCTGTGCCTGCGTGGTTTTCCTCCAGCTACTCCTGTTTCTTCCAACATTCTAAAGACATGCTGAAAGGTTAATTGGATCCTGTCTAAATTGCCCCTAGTAAGCGTATGTATGAATGTGAGTTAGGGACTTTAGATTGTACGCCCCTTGAGGGTTAGGGACTGAGGTAAATGTACAATACATATGTAAAGCGCTGTGCAAAATTGACGGCACTGTATAAGTACCTGTTATAAATAAAGTGGCTATCAAAGTGAAATCATACCATCAGATTTCTGAACTTTGTAAATTTTAAGGCACAAGCGGAAAAAAATGGGCCAGTTAATTGAAATCTGAAATATTGATTATATAGGTGGAGCCTGGTGGCAAAAGCTCTCTACCATAATTCCAGGCTTGGCTTCTGCCTACATGAAAAATGGTGTTCTAGCTTCTCCATAACATTATCCAGAAGATTAAATAAAAATCCCGCAGGGATGGTGAAAGTTTACCTGTTAATGGATGCAGCAGATGAGCAGGGTCAATAAATCAGAGATCTCAGCAATAAAGACCCCAAGAGATATACAAGAAACCTTTGGGTGGTTTAAACATTTAAATCTACGGTGGGGATCCTCCACTCTTATTTCTCTTATCATGTATTATGTTCCTCAAATGTGAACCCTTCTAGTTCCATGTAAATGTTCACATATTTCCTTTTTGTGTGTTGAAATTTTTCAATAAAAATTATTTGAATATAAACTTATTTAAATCTTAATTTTACTCAATTTTAGACCTGTAAAATGGAAAAAATTGTGCCCAAGAGCATACAGAAAAAGATGCCTAGTATTACCTTCATTAGTCTGAAAAGACTCTTTCATGCCCCTCAACGATCTAATTTCAGTGGTTAAGCTTCACCAGCAATCATGTTAATGGCCAATGAGGCATTTTATTGGGCACCAGAAATGGCAGTTGGCAGGGCCTAGCCATGAAGTTTGAAGACGTCAAACCACAGAAACAAAGTGAAACAAAAGTACAGCTAAACCAGAGAGGCACTGAGGAAGGTTTCCCGAGCAATAAAAAGGTACAACAAAGTAGAAAATGGTAGCTTCGCTTTACTCACAGCAGTCATCCCTTAAATAAAAGTGGCTTCATGCTGAACTCCAGGTATTGATTTTAGTGCATAGTTACATTAGTCCAGCATGGAGCAATATAAGAATGCATATGCAACACCTGTAGATCTCTAGGAAGGCTGGAAATCACTGGAGTATTTGCGGATACCACAGTGTTGGCCACCGTTTTCTGGGTTTGTGCCCATGTCAAATGAGTGACCCCCTGTGGGGGCAGCCACTCGGCACAGAATGCAGAAAACAGTGGATTCCAGCTTCCACAGGGATCCCACAGGTTTGGCATATTCATACTTACATACATATGTAACTATGAACTAAAATCCATACCTGGAATTTTGTTATAAAAAAAAAAAAAAAAAAAGCCAAATTAAAAATTTTGCACAAAAATAATACCTCAGACTGACTTCAGGCCCCTAGGCACAGGTGAGGTCCTGGGAGTGCTGGGTGCTTTCAAAGGTTCACAAGAAGGCGCTCCTGGAATGGGCTGGAGACAGCAGCGGGGAACGATGACAGTGAATATTTTTGTACAAAAATTTTCTGTAGTTTTTAAAACTTTTGTATGCGGAGGTAAAGGTTGTGAGTAAAGCGGACTTTAGAACGTTAAAAATGGAGGAATTGACCCTTTCATTTTCAGACGGCAAACATGTTAAACACACTAAACCGCCACATTAAACCACTCACTCATGACAAGTTTCCCCAATTAACCCGTCACCAAAGCATTAACGTTTAAATCTCAGATTTCTCACCTGGTTTTTAGAGGCATAAAAGGATGTTCAGCTGGCTGTGTCTCCTGAGGCAGAACCACAGGTGATGGCGATGTCACACCACTGGCAGCAGGAGAGTGGAGATACGACAAAGTTGCTATGTGGGTGTTTGTGGTGGTGGTGACCCCAGAAGCTGTAGAAAACTGGATCGGAGAAGGGAAGTTTGAGGATTTAGGGTTTGGGGCAGCTAAAAAGGAAGGAGTAGAGAAAGCCAGGGGTTGGTTGCCATGCACATAAGAAGCTCTCACATCAGCAGTGATGACGTCAGATGAGAGCCCTTGGAGTGCCCTTGCATGAAGATCTTTGAAGCTCAAGTCTTCTTGTAGAGAAGATTCAGGACTTTGACTTTCTCTAGAGTGGTCAACAAATGGGTTCTTGTGACTTAAAGGGGTTTTATCAGTAGGCGTAAAGGGATTTCCAGGAGATGGTAAACATTTTAGGTCATTTTGGGACAACTGGTCAGAGTCTGTTTTCCAAAAGTCCTCATTCTTAAAGTCTACAATGATATCTGCTGACCAAGAGGACTGTTGGCTCAGTAAAACACTCGGATGGCTTTCTTGTACTAATATTTTTTCACTACACTCAAGTGTATTGTTTGACATTTCATTTGGTGGTAGGCTATGAGATCCTGTTAAGTGGCTTATTAAACCTTTATTTTTACCATTGTTTGGCTCAGTTCTGTATTCTACATTTTGGTTAGTAGGTTTATTGGATTCCAAGGAGACACTGACATTCTGCATGTCAGTTTTTGACTCTGCCATGCTGGATGACACTTGTTCCTCCAAGGCAGACCAAAACAAAACGTCAGAGTGGCTGTGCTTTTTAGATGCACTTGTATCTTCTGTCCTGTTCCCTTTTTGTTTCTTTGGCAAAGGCATTGGCTTTTGGAAGATAAAGTCCTCATTATCCTTTCTGTTGTCACCCAATGTTGAGAGCAATTCAGATGGACCACGCTTAATTATCTCCAATTTGTTTGAGTTTTCTTGAAGACTTGAGGAGTCTAGTGAGACATTTGAAAGGCAAGTCCTGAACTGCTCTGACGCAGAGGTGTCATTTACATCTAACAGGTGTTCTCCATTAGCAGCACCCAGCTTTGGAAGTTCATTATTTCCTTCTCTTAAATTAGCCAAATGGCCCTCAGTGGTGGATTGGGTGTGCTCAGTTGTAGAACCTAACACTGGGCTTCTGATCTCAATTACAGGACAACAGGCCACTGGAGAGTGTGTGTGTTTGCTATCCCCCATGTTTTGCTCAAGCTCATGTTCCTCTGGGCTCTCTGTTTGTTTTCCACTGGTGTCCTGAAAGCTTGTTTGTTTGCAATTATCTACATCAGACTCAATGGGTTCAAAGGCAGGTGGCAACGTAAGCTGTGGGGGCTTGGGTGGTGCCAAGGACCCTATATCCTCGCTTATGGCCTGTTCTTTAATTAACTCATTAACTCCGTTTTTCACTGGTGTCTTATCATTAGTAACAGGTTCTGGAGAAAGGTCTTCACCTACCCTAACAAAATTATGTTCTATCAAAGCCTGCTGCCTGGGTTGGACAGCAGCCTTTACCTCCTCAACAATTACGTCACTACTGTCCCTCAGCTCATGTGCACTTTCAGCTATGGGTGTCATGGTGGAAGAGTAAATTCTATCAGTAGGGGAATTGTTTGGATGCACCGAACTTGAAGAATCTTCTGAATTAACCTGGTTTTGTTCTTTACTCAAAATTGGTGAGACAGAAGCTACTTTGTTTTCTGTTTGGCTTGTTTCTACATATTTAAATTTTATTGGACTGGATTTAGAAATTGGCACTTCCATGTTAGGACATTGCCTCTGATCTGCAATCAAGTCACTAGTGAATGTCCGAATTAAAGCAGACTCATAGTGGGGAATGTATGATGTAGAAAAGATAGAGGAGTTCCCTGTAAATGGGATTTCATCTGTCTTTTTTCTGTCATTTCCAGCATGGTCTGACCAAGAAGGTGCTTGTAATCCCGGCCTATTCAAATTATTATTCTCACTATAATCTTGCCTAATCTCGGGTCCATGGACACCAAAAAATGATAGCGGTGGATTCCTTTCTGATGCAGCAATAAAATTTTCTTTGGTTTCTGGTGATTTTTGCAGTCGGCTGGATGCAAATGCATCAAATTGTTCCTCCCATTCCGAAACAGTTTCTGGAGATGCTGAAGAACCATTGACATCAAAAGTTTCCACCGAGTCAATTCCCTTTTGGTGCAAGGATGACGTCTGATCTTCAACACGTGGAAAGAAGGCTGATGGACTGTGTTCCTCCACAAGAGTAGAGCACCTTTCAGCAGCTTCTGAGGTAGCAATAGACCCAGAGGGGAAACTAGAGAAAAAGTGAGTAGGTGAAGAAGTATTTAGTAACTGGTCAGAGAGGGAGTCCGCAAAGAAAGGGTTGTTCTGTAGTGAGCTGAAAAATGGGTTGCTAGCAGAAAGGCTCCTTTGGACACCACTAAGAGAAGCTCTACCGGGGTTAGTTCTAAGCAATACAAAAGCAGCTACTACAGGGGAAGCTGGGGCAGGAAGGCAAGGGATAAAGGGGGAAGAAGCAAAGGAGCTGGTTTCTACCAGAGGAGACACATCCAGTCTGTGGAGGAAGACAAAACGATCCTCCAGGTTAGTGACAAACATCAACACAGGCTACATAATAAAAACGCACACACGCTACTAGCGCTTTAAGGCTTCCAAGGGGTGTGGGGGGGGGGGGGGCTGTGTGAAGTGGACCTACATGGGTGATGGGACATTGTGACATCATGTACATGAAAATTAATGATGCTGCAAATTAAAATTCATGTCTCAAAACAAAAGCATTCATCGTCCGGAAACCAGATGCGGTACTTACGTGGGATAGCAAGTGAACACAATGGCATTCTACAAAGCTATAAACATGTTAGGTAGTATTGTCATTTTAGCTTTTGGAATTTTTTTTACTTATAAAAGACTAGCACTTAAAACTTGTTTAATCATATGTACATGAGGACATCCATATTTGTTCTTTATATATGCAGGCCCTGCCACCTGCTCAAAACCAGAGCTCACTTGTCTCTTGCTGATCCTCTTAAGAAACCACATTAAAAACACTACCAATGCTCCTGGTCGCCCAAGACCATGGGATGTAGGCTGTCAAAGCTTCAAGTCGCACAAGCGGGCTCACTAGCAGAATTTGTTTAGGATGCAAGGAATACTTAATATAAATCCTCACTAAAGCACTGTTGGTGGGAGTTTGTTGCCAACTCCTAGAAGTGCCCCTAACACGTGCAACTTTTCACTGGTTAGAAAGTGAAATGCTAGCCTGCCAATTTTCTTCTCTGCAGTATTGTTAGTGATCTATGGTCTGCAGATACCCTAAGAGTCTGGTCCTCTTATGGGTGTGTTTAAAAGTTCACCCTGCACATATACCATATAAAAGCCCAACTCCATGCCCTCCCTTCAGATGTCTGTCATATGATGTGCAGGGTCATCCTCCCTTTCCCTCACGAATGGGTGGTTCTCTACGTTACTGAAGGGCACTGTGGTGGTGCTGCTTTCTCAAGGGAGCGTTCTAGGATGCCCTGAAATTACAGTATGTTCTCAGTTTTGTAGTTTGAAGGATGATGGGCGTCCTTCAATCCAAAGACAAAGGACATCTAGTAGTGGAAGATGGTTATTGCAAGGGACAACACTGTAGAGAACGCGAGTCCTGCAATTAAAAAGTTACTTTTTTTCTTAATATTTTACAGTTCTTTAGTCCCCAAGGTAAAAAAATATCAAAAAAACCTGGAGCTCCACCTTAAGCCTTGATTTCCTTATAGTGCATGGCAATGGAGGTACTGTAATGTCAAGTAGCAAGTACTGCAAGCCAGCACTCAAGGAGATGCATTGACGGACTTCACCCAATATTTTGCATTGCTTTTGGTCTGTGACTTGTCTTACATTCTTGCCCATATACACTGTAGGTGAATCAATGGCCTCTGTTCCAGTTTAGAAAACCCGAATGTCACTGTTACTTTGCTTTTCGATCATTCTGCTCTTGATAAAGAAATCCTGTGTGATCTGGAAACTGTTTTCATATGCTGGTTTGAGCAAAGAATGTCATCATTGGTCTGGTTTTGGACCCTAGTCCCCTTTTGAAGGTCTAAGCATATCCTCTACTATTAAAAAGGACCAGTCCACAAAAAGATATTTGGGTTTTACGTGGCACCTGGTGGGCTGAGCCAGCCCCTGGCTTATTATTTTTGGATACCCCGAGTAGCGGTATCTCCCTGCATAATGCCTGACCCGGTTCATGTCCACTTGGGAGTTCCTGCTCATCCGTTTCAGCTGCTTGAGTTGCTGGGATTATCTACAGGTATTTTTCTGTAATTGCAGTGCTTTTAAAAGAGACAAAAACCTAGGGAAACAGGACATGGCCTCCTTGCTCATGTACAGCACAGTGAGAGTCTCTGAAATTCTTTTCCATCCCCATACTCATTAGTGGCCTCTCACAGCTCCTACGTTTTCAGGTGTCTTCAACCTAGTAGAGCAGTGACATCACCCACCCCCCCCAGTCATTTCACAGTGTTAGAGCTTACCAATTATCACAGGGGAGGAGGTCCCTTGCTTCTTTATACCTGGATGTGCCAGGTACTATGGGCAATTGAGGAAGATGAAGGTGTAGATGAAGGAGAACACTGGTAAAAAGAATATAAGGGTGTCCAAAGCCCATTCCAGAAACACTGTTTCTTGTCCTGCATAATCTAAAAGGGTCTCCAAGCTAAATTTTAGTAGTTTTGTTTTTGGCTTCAGCAATGGCATAAGCCTTACTCTAAATTGTAAAACAGAGTTTTGTAGAGCTGGTCTATGGTGGTGCCATTTATATGGACATCACCGTGGATAAGTGCTGTTAGCACAGTGCAGTGTAACCTTCATCACAGGTCAGATGGTGGTCTAAACCAACCCATTGAGCTGGCTGAAGCTGCATGTGCATGTCCAAAAAAGGATTGAGAATCACTTCACAAGGCCTATAGTAGACATTTTTAATATAGATGCATGAAAGTGCAACCAATGAGGTGATATAAACCATTCTTTAACCAGTTTTAGATAAAATGACCTTCCTTTTACATACTGCCTTTGCTTCAACCCAGAGAGTAGAGACCTTTTCTGCCTGTTCTAATTCTTAAGGTGTGATTAAACCTTAAGGCCCATCTCCGGGCCAAAAAAAAAAAATGTTTTCCCGAGCA